TCTCCATAAATGATAGAACAAGGTTTTATCGTGAAATAAATATCGCTTCCTTCTTCTTTGTTCTTTGCGATTTATCGCGTAGCTGTCATATATCATCAAATGTCAGTTTCTCATTGCTTTATCATGACGTATCCGTGTCATAACCAATCATGTAGCAATAGCAAACACAAATATAGTTGACTTCGACATAGAATAGTGTCATGATATATAATTATCCTTTGGTGTGCAATATTTCCGGTTGATAAATCTAACATATGCTTACTTTTAAGAATAGCGACTATACATTTTTATATTACTTTATAAGGTCTCTGTAACATATGCAAAAAAAAAAATAATAATAATACAACTGAACCTAAATGTATGTTGTAATATCCTTAAGTTTGCTGAGTGCGGCATGAGACCATAAACAAAACATAATATCTTTAAGAATTATGTTAATAATGTCGATGCTAAAAAATAATCTCAACAATATCCATACCTCTTTCTCTATGTTTAATGTGAAACATAATAACTCTTTTTAATGATCTGAAGGAAAAATAATGACAATAATATCAAAATAATATCATCATTATTTATGTTACTTATCCTCAACTGAAGTAGTCCTCAACACTATACGTTCAGAGAAGAAACCAATGAACATATTATCAATGTAACATACATTAATGGAAATTAGATGAACAGTTGATTGAACAAATGATATTATTCGGTCGAACATCTATCAGCCAATACTACATTATTAAATTGTGAGACTACAGGGATTTTTGCAAGGCTACTCTCATAAATGTCATGACGCATTTGAGGCCAGGGTTCTTCTATACTCGCATTAATGTGCTGACTTATTATTGCGTTAATTTCATGATTTACAGTATTCATGAAGAACATTTCACGTGGGACCAACAGAGGGAAATATGACTATCGACTATTTTTTTATATTTAGCTAGCTCAAACGATCTATTGGTTTGATTTATTGTTATTGTATCCACAAAATAAGTAGGATCCGTTTTTTCCGTTTTTGTTGTTCTTTGTGTAACGCCGCAGGTAGCAATATTCCAGTTATATGACGGTTGTCTATAAATAATCGAGTCTGGACCAGACAATCCAGTGATTGATATCACCACCACCGATCCACGCAATTGAGATACAATGACATGCATCAACCAAGTCAGCGAGCCTGACCACCCGATCCCTTTAGTCGCCTCTTACGACAAGCATAGTCGCCTATTACGGCAAGCATGGGTTGCTGTAAATCTATTCTTAACCGGATCTTCAAAGGTCAAGTGGGATTCAACTGATATGTTAAGATGAAATAAAACTGAATTATATGTGCTGTTTACATATCAAAGTTTGCCAAATTGTTACAAAATGTTTGGCCACAGCAAGGCTACGTATTCACAACTTATTGTGGTAGGCACAATATAACTCATGATTCTGGACTGAGGGAGGGCCGTTTTCCTCCTTGTGGGTCACCTGCTTGGCAATATGGGACGGGACAACTGCAGGGGGTGAGGGCAGTTAAGTTGATTGTACAGACAGATAACAGAGATCATTTTACAAATGTGAAACCTCATTCCACAAAGGAAGAGGCGAAAGCTGAAACTTGGTGAGATTTACAGAACAAAGGCAGTTATTTCTAGTTTCTTACTGACTCTCGAGGATACATTTAATTAAAATTCGTGTGTGCGACACGGCCACCAGTCACTAAATTTGGGTCACAATCTTTCTGTCTTCTTTCATTTGTCATCTGAAATACCATCCCTTCGTGCACCTGTGCTTCCTGCTCAAGCTACCAAACACATCCTGTTTACGTACACGTGCAGGATATATATTACGCCGAGGAGAATTTACGATTATACGTTGATACGTCTAACTGCTGGCATGGTACGCAATGTCATATAACTTTCGAAAGTATAAATCCTTTTCCTATACTCAGACGTTCCTGAGCCTTGCGCTTTCAATCAAGAAAGGGAGGAGCTTGATGATATCGTTCTCTCCCAGTAAATTCCGATGTCAAATAACGACGTTATTTGGACGGAAAAACGATGGTTTGAAAGCGTCCAAATAACGTCGTTTTTCCGTCCAATGACCATATACGGAAAAAAACGACGTTTTCGTGTTTGCAGGGCTAGCACTATAAATCGGCATCAGTCCGGACTATCATAAGCAGCCACACAGACCACACACACAAGCACGTGCATGCATGTCGATATATAAGTCATATAAACCCCATTTCACCTCACCACCTCGAACGACAACAAATCACAAAATATTTACAAGATAATTTTGATCCAGAGGAGTACGGACTAGTACAAAGCAGCCACACACACACGTGCATGCACGTCGCTATATAACGCGACGTTAAAACCCAATTCACCTCACATCACCTCCATCATTATTGCTTAGTTCGCAATCCCTCATCAATTCGTTGTCCGTCACCTGTTGTCACCTCCGTCCGTACAATGCCCGTCTCCAGTCCGGTCAGACATTCCTCCGCCAGCTACCGTCATTACATTGTCCGTCGTCAGGCAGTCCGTTTGTGCGCTCTCCGTCGTTCATCGTTAGAAAGTCCCTGAATTGTTCCAATCTGTTGTCTATTATTTCTCCTTCATACGTGACCCGTGAAGATCTGGGTTAGAATAGGTCTTCAGCAACCCATGCTTGTTGTAAGAGGCGACTAACGGGATCGGGTGGTCAGGGTGACTTTGTTGATGTATATGATCGTATCCCAATTTGCGTGGATCGTTGCTCATGATATCAATCACTAGATTGTCTGATCCAGACTTGATTGCATTATTTACAGACCACCGTCATGTAGCTGCAATGCTGCTGAGGGCGGCGTTAAACAACAAACAAACAAATCCTTCATACATCGTCATGCTTTCCGTAAAGTGTCAATTACCCGTTATCATTGCGATAAAAACGTTTTTAATTTCGATAGCATTGAAAACATAACGAGTATATTGCGTTGTATGCACTTGGAATGGCTCCAGTGATAGTTTTACTGTTTATTGAAGTAGATTGTAAATGCCATGACCCCCATTATTCTGCCATTTACTCTTTTGTCCGTGTGCTAACTAAACATGAGACGAACATGGTCATTATGTTGAGCTGGATCTCATATGTTTGTTTCTGCGAAATCCAAAATAACAATAAAATGAAACTGGCTTTTGTCTCTACACAGCGAACATTATCCCAACCTTAATTCAAAACAGCAGAGTTCTCACGTTACAAGGGCTTCATAAACACTTTGTATTCATCAGAAGAATTTTGACTTGCGAATTGGGAAACGTAGCTGATATGCCACGATAGAAATGAAATATTGCCAACGTGTCGTTTTGCCCAACTCACTCACTCACTCTGGACTATGACCTAATCAACCTTTCCCTCAAAGGTTTTCAAGAGTGCCTGCATATTAGGTTGAATATCAGGAAAGGGCGTTACATCTACGCTTGGTTAGCGTTTACAACGCCACAGTTAGCACTATTTCAGCTTTATGACGACGGTCAATAAAACGTGAGTCTGGACCACACAATCCAGTGATCCATCGATCTTTGCCATTTGGATTTGATGACATGTATCAAACAAGTCCCGTTAGTCGCCTCTTAAGATAAGCATGGGTTACTGAAGACTGATTCTAACCCGGATATCTATGGGTAACCAGGTTTTCTGAACCTATATTTAGCGGGCGGTGAGCAGTCTAGTGGTTAGAGCGTTCGCTCGTCAGACCCGGGTTCGATTCCCCACATGGGTATAATGCGTGAAGCCCATTTCTGGTCTCTCCCGCCGTGAAACAGCTAGAATATTGCTAAAAGCGGCGTAAAAAATACCACTCACTCACTCCTCCATTTAGTTGATGCACTGTGACATTAACAATGTACTGCTCGGAAACCGTAACACCCAAATCACACATAATACACAGAGACAACAACGCTCAGCGTACGTCACTTCTGACTTTTATATGACTGATAAAAAGTCGCGGCGTGGAATCATACCACTCACTCACTCAACACAATTATAAACATCAACTACCTGATCCACGTTTCGCATAGCGGCCATAGCGTCACGACTATCTCCAATACGTTAACACGGACTTACGACAGTCGTAGCGCTGCCATTGCTTTGTGAAACGTGGCCTTGCGTCAGTTTGGGCATGACTGCAAACGGAGGTTAACACGCCGTTATATTATGGTGGCCGAGAGGGGAGCGAGAAAGCGAAGAAAGCGATGTCCCCTCTCGGCCACCATATTATATAACCGATAACTGATAGAAATAATCCATACCAATACGAACCTAAGCAGCCATGTTTTTTTTTAAAAACAAGTACGTCACCTTATACGAAATATGATGAAGTTATGTATGTCCCGCACGTTTACCACTTTAGTGAAGCCCACGAGCATGGGCATGGTTCTGACAACTCTAGAAACAGCCCTCGGGGTGAACGGGGATTCGAACCTACAATTACAGGTTTCTGACGTGCCCAAGGGACGCAACTCTTCACAGCGAATTGAGGCGCCTCAGACGTATGGGCCACCACTGTGCCCCGTGTCAAGGATGAAAAAATGCATGTGCAAATAGATTTGATTTGTTGATACATGTGCACTCGTAATTCGCTCTGCAGAGTTACTCCCCTTAATCGTGACAGGATCTTATACTCGCTGATTAAGTTTCAAGGGTTGTCAAAGTGGTAAACGTTCAGCTAACTGTGGGAATCGTGCTTGGAGCTGATACGCCATACTGTAACCCAAATACGGAGGTGCAAACCCAGCAAACTCTTTGACCATATAAGTAGGATACTTTTTGTATGATGTAGTTGTTTTAGGTTAATTTTCCCCAAAACCTCTTCGACAAAACCAATTGTCAATACAACAGGTAACGACAAACCCAACACACCCCCCCCCCCCCCCCCCCCCCCCCCCCACACACACACACATCCATCAAATTCCCCAAACAGTCACATGACATATACACGCGTTGTCTCCGTGTTGATCAAGGTGAGACGACGACAGAGCCTATGAAAGGCGTTCATGTTAGCAGACGACAGTGCGTCACGACCGTGTCTCCTCTCCCCAAATCACCAGTGTTGCGGTGGTCCTGGACTCACTCCAGCCAGATGTGGAGGGAACCTGCGTTTTGAGGTCACATCCAGGACTCACTCCAGATGTGGAGGGAACCTGCGTTTTGAAGTCACAGGTTTGACCAGCAAGTACATACTTCGTCGAACAAGTAAGTTCGTCACGGTTCGTTAATTCTGAGGTAAACAGAAAGGGTCAACAGTACAACCTCTCTTTCGTCTACATGCATACACTCTGTACGAATCTACGCCGATGCTCAAACTTCCATATCGCAACGCGAATACATTACCCTGGACAAGAATGTTCAAGTCATGGTAAAATAAGCTTAGAACATAATGACTATATAACTAGTTTGACAGGCTTAAAACTGCTAAATTCTGGTACTTGTTTTTTCCACGCTGTGTGCACGATGTCAATGGACGAATAATAACGCTTTCAGTCCTACATATCTGTACAGCTTAACTGTTTGTGATTTTTGTATATAGACATGTTACACGAATGAATGACTCCCAAGTGAAAGCACTATGTTGCATTACTTTGCTTACCTCCTTCAAAAGACACTAACGCCACAGATTAACTGAAAAATCAGGTCAGGTGTGACACAGCGACACAGCATGAACACATATGCATAGTCAGATCGAGCTCTGTGACTTTGTCATGTTACGTGACAAAGAGTCTTCTTTGCGGTTGTATTGCATGCTTAAACATGTGTACTTTATGTCAACTGCGGACACAAAGGCACACACGTAGGACTCGGGTGATCCAATCCCACGGAGTGATTGATTTGAGTAAACATCGCTTGATGTAATACTCCAGCCGTACCACGGGGGCACCAAAAATGGGCTTCACACATTGTAGCCTTGTTTTGAATCCAACTAGTGCCTTATATATGACGGACCAACGGTTAAACACCAATGCAGTTTCATTGAGTGAGGGATCCGCGAGACAGCAGTTCATGGACGTTTGTCAGTCAAGGGTGGTAGTTTTGACAGAATGTCACATGGTGCTGGCTTAGTATTTACAAAATAGGCTCTTAGTATAGTGTCACACGGTTTTGATATAGTGATGACGTAATGTTCACCTAGTCTTGACATATTGTGGCACTGTGTGGCATACTGGTAAACCGTTGGCGTAGTTTTGACATATAATGTGGGGCGGTCGGGTAGCCTAGTGGTTAAGGCGTTCGCTCGTCACGCAGAAGACCCGGGTTCGATTCCCGACATGGGTACAATATGTGAAGCCCATCTCTGGTGTCCCCCGCCGTGATATTGCTGGAATATTGCTAAAAGCGGCGTAAAACTATACTCACTCACTCACATATAATGTGGACATAGTGTGCAAGGTGATAAAAGGTTGACATATGTTTGCCATATTGTTGACACACTGTGGCATACTGGTGACATATGGTTGACATAGTGTTGTCATATGGCTGACATATTGTTGACACTTTTTTGGGCACATTGTAGGTAGTACTGACTTGACACAGTGTTGACATAATATTGCCACATTGCTGCCATAGTGTTGACGTATTATTAACATTGTGTTTGCATATTGTTGACACATTGTGGCACCAAGTCGACAAAGTGTTGAATTAATGTTGACATAGTATTACCTATTGCTGATATAGTGGTGACATATTGCTGACATACTGACACATTGTTGACATTGCGTTGACACATCGTGGCATTGTGTGGACATAGTGTTGACATATTGTTGACATAGCGTTGAAACATCGTGGCATTGTGTTGACTTAGTGTTGACATATTGCTGACACATTGTTGACATAGTGTTGACATATTGCTGACACATTGTTGACATTGTGTTGACACATCGTGGCATTGTGTTGACATAGTGTTGACATATTGCTGACACATTGTTGACATAATGTCGACATATTGCTGACACATTGTTGACATAGTGTTGGCAATTTGCTGACACATTGTTGACATAGTGTTGACATATCGTGGCATTGTGTTGACTAAGTGTTGACATATTGCTGACATATCGTTGACATAGTGTTAACACATTGTTTTACTTTGTGTTGACTTCGTTTTGACTTCGTGTTTCCTTCGTAGTGATGTAGGGTTGACATATTGCTGACATTGTTAACAAAGCGTTGACACATTGTAGCATTGTTTTGACTTTGTGTCTATTCATATTTATTACAGAGATACATGACATCAAACATTTGGACTCAAACATTTCTGCAAAGCCCCAGACTTATACCGGTTTATGTAATAATTGCAGGTTTTATATCTTATGTCAGTTTAATTGAAAGTAGACATGTATGCTGACATATTTTGAAATAACGTTTCTATTTCATTAAAACCTAACGAGAGAAAATATGATACTTTTATAAAGTCTACACATGATTTTTACGGAAGTAAGTTGACGTCAAACGTCTCCCTTTATGACGTCGCAGCACACGTGTGTGCTTGCACCCAATAGGACCCTTTTCTCCTGGTGGGTCACATCAGAGACCATATAATATTATATGGTCTCTGGTCACATATATTCCCCAGCATCCACCATATACGAATGATATAGAATATGTATAGAAAATCTACAATTTGAAGCATAAGGAATGATAAGGGCCACTTCGATCCACAGGATCTGCATAATTTAGAAAATGAGCAAATCCTATAAAAATCATCAGTGAAGATACGATCATCAGATGTGATTATATGAAGGAGAAGTGAAAAGCAAAAGAAACTACTCTCAGTTGATTTTATCAAGGGTTTGATTTTAAACTACAAATACATTAAGTTGGCAATGTTATATAAAAAGATTGAAGTGCACTGTGCACTCAAAGAATACTTCTATGTGCTTTTTCTTCAATATAATGTGGTTAAAAACTTAAACATCAATATATTCCGCACAAATGTGCAACATTTACAAACATGGTAGGCGGCATGTGGTTGCCAGTTCATTTCTTACCTCAGTCTTCCTTGAACCAATTTATTTTTACACAGGATTACTTTATACTATCTATTTCAGAAATGAGTAACAGTTAAACAGACACAACCAAATTTATCAAAAGTTTTTTTTCAATTTTCAATTGCATACAAATGGTATCCTTTCTTTTGCCCCTCAGTAATAACAAACCTATATATACATGTACAGTACTTATATAGATACTGATAGTCTGTGTGGGAACTGATGATTCGAGAGGTTTTCGCGAAGCGTTTCTCTAATACTAAAATGTGAGATATTCTTTGACTCAAGCTGATTTTTTTAGGAGATGTAGAGGAAGACATTAGAAACATGGACCTGCTCATAAATAGAATTTCTCTTGAAATTCGGAATATGTGCCTTATTCACTTATTTTAGAAATACGTCTACAGAACTCGAAAACGTCCATGTTGTAAGTCATTTAAACGTTTCTGATAATGTTCACGCCATTATATCAAACTTATGAACAACTTTGAAATGTAACATTTCACGTGGGCCAAAAAGGGTACTTATCCTATTAACTGACGGGCAAATTCTTGTGTAAGAATTATAATTTGAAAGTGTCATATGGAACCCATATTAACAGTCATATTTCTAAACTACTGAATTAAATGGCCTATTTTGTTAATATTGCAATCTTCTATTTACACCCGACCAAAGCTGTTTAAGCGTATGAAACAGAAGCTAAATTAAAACCCTGTCATATTACATTTTCAGTGTATCGACATACACCTACACCGTTTATTATCTGAGAGTTAGAAATCACTGAAAAAAGACACGCTTAATCAACACACCTCGGTAATACATGTACAGTCACAGGGTAAATATGTGCAGATCTAGCGGACAATGCTACGTGTTTCTAATGGTTATATTAACCTCTGATTACACTTTAATTTCCAGGCATCAGCAATTTTGGAAATGTTTACTACTCGTGTAGTACAATTTGGAAAACAACTATCTCTTACATGGCGGTGCGCGGCGTTGTTTGTATTTAAAGATAGATGGTTGTCCTTCGTACCTATGCGACTCACCGTCAAATTGTCATATATCTACTCAATTAATTGAAAGAGATAAACCAGCTACAAATGTATGTTATGCAGTGCAGTGATTTTGATGTAGCAACAAACATGATAATAACGACACATACTCCTCAACACAAACAACCTTGTAGCTCTTCCTGAAGAAAAAAGTTGCGGAAATAGTAGTTCCCCTTCAAACTCGTGTACAAAATCGGAGGTCATAGGTCATCATTCAGAAATGAACCCAATGACCTTTGACCCAGGGTCAAGGAAGTGTGTCTTGTTGATTCGTGACTCTATGTAGGGCTTGTTGTAGTTCCTAATTGCAAGGAAGGCCTGTAGCTAAAATTGTTTCTTGTTAGAATTGTGCGAGTGGAAAGTGCGGTCTGCCCCCGGAGATGCTGCTTGTTACTGGTGTACTTCTAGGTTATTGTATAGAAATTATAGATATTATGTTTGCCAGACGCTGGGAAAGTGGGTTTTCTTGCACAATCGGAGAAATATGACATTTTAGGTTATCATTTCATGCATTGATTAGTCTGTTTTGTCTTCGATTAGTCTGTTTTGTCTTATCGTTTGCGGAGACTGTGAGTTAATGGTTATGGCTATTGCGCTGTTATGGTGTAATTGTTTTCATCTTTTCAAAACGTTTCAGCAAAGAAAGGACGGTAGCTACAGTTACCAAAGATTATAATCTGTATAAAACCAACTACAACGTATAGCCGTACCGCTAAATACCCATGGTAAAATGAAAAACGGCAAACAATTTTACATGGTCTCTTAAAAAAACACATCTTGTTAATTAGATATTAATGTGTAAACAGCGGCCAAGAAAAAAATAAAACCACTGAAAACAATATGTTCATAAATGTCTGTGTCAGTAAAGCGAACCATCGTTTATATTTTTGACTCGATGTTTTGTCGCCGTGTAAATTTATGATTCCGTAAGAATATTTCTGGCAGTGTGGTCTAATATCAAAATACCACTTCTCTCGAACCGCGAATAACTCGATACACATGTGTACCTATCCACTGACCATCGTAGGTCGAAACAAGCGGATTACTGATTTTATAATATAGATCGTGTTAATTGAGTTCGAGATAACGATGTTTCACTGTGTAAGGTCGTTTTCTCGCATTCTTCTAGATTTCTTCTTTGGTCGGCAACTGCATCGATCAG